TTCATATTCGGTCGCTCCGAAGGACGCGAGCACGAGCGACGCCCGCCCACGCGCCAGGACGAACCGAAACGCCACGGATCATTCAACTGTCTTCCGTCCCTCGTCCTCATATCGTCTCTCGCCATCGAATTGAAATTCCCGCACAACCCGCACAATTTATTTTTATACGCACTGGATACGGTCACCTCTAAAAATCCATCTCCGTCCCAGAGAAGCTGCACCCCGATGTCAGATTTTAAAAGAACGGAACCGTTGCTTCGCATAATATCTGCTACTTTTTTAATTTTATGCGGCAGTGTCACTCTTTGACCGTTCACTTTAACGCGCATTTTGCGTCCCATATTTATTTTTGTGGTCCCAATACGCAACGTCGCCGTACGGGTCCATGAGGAATGTGAAGTATTTCTTGCGTCGTTCGATATTCTGATCGAGAAGGTGTGATTCGCGCAGTCCGATACTAACTGATATTTGCATGATCCTTGGAAACTATAAAATTTTCCATCAAAAGTTTTGTAGTGAGGATCGCCAAAGACCGTGCAAATACCATCGATATCCACACACTTGGGACAGCACTGGCCGGGAAGCTGTCGTAGGTTCTGGTCGGATGGACATGACAGCGGCGGACAGGTCTCCATGGCACATCTCGGCTCACCACCATGACATTCGCATGATTTACACGCGTCCAATTGCCAAATTTCTCCATCCTGAAATTGTTAAAAATAAAAATTACAACTTTTTAATGACTTTTGTCGAATCGTGTAATCGTTATCATCTCTAATGAGTAACTATAGAAAAACTAGTTTTCTAACAAAGTAAACTTTAGAAATCAGACGAAAACTGTAAAGCAGAAATTAATACCTGATAGGTAACACCGCTTACGACACAGGCAGCTTTAGCCTCTTCGACGTGTGGACATTCAGAACAGCATTTTCCCGGGGCTGGGGGTAACGCGCGTGCCCCGCAAGTCAGCACCGGGCATGTGTGCCGTGTGCACACCGTCGTACCATTCATGCACGTGCAGTCCGTGCATGGATCCACTGGAAACCGGCTGAGGTGTGCGTGGTACTCCTTCCCGATTATACAGGGCTTCGGTAACGAATTACCTAAACCTGATGACATTGAAATACTAATAATTAGCTAATCTTAAAGTAAATCTGTAAATCATTATAAATGCGAAAGTTTAGATGAATGGATGGATGTTTGTTAATTTGTAAGCTAAACGGCTCAACGGATTTCCATGAAATTTGCTATAGATGTGGATGATAATCTGGAAGGACACATAGGCTACTCACTTTTGTTTTTTAATTCAACGCGGATAGAGTCGCAGGCGAAATCTAGTAGCAAATGATAAAGAAGACAAGTGAGCACGTTTTTGTCATGTCTTTTATTCCATGGTTACAAACAAATCCACATTGACCCTCCTCAACGTCTACTTTTCTTCCATGAAAGGTTTTTACTCCATTAGAAAAGCTTAATATTAAGATAACATACCAGGCAGAAATTTGTCGGACATAGGATGTGTGCAGCGCGGGCAGCATTCACCGGGCGGCGTGTGCTGATGTGCGGGCGCGCAGGGCAACACGGGGCAGGCGCGCTTGGCGCACGACAACGCGCCGTGCACGCAACGACACGACAGGCACGGCTCCTCCGGCACGCGCACATCGCGACCCTCGCCAACACGCTGGCCGTTGATCACACATTCTGAAGATATTAAAAATAAACATGTCATTATTATTTTTTTTATTTACAGTTTCTAACTAAAAATACTTCTAGTTTTATTTCTATACACTGTTCTAATCACTTTTTTCTAGCCTAGTTTTAAAATACATAAATTAGGTTAAAACCAAAATTAAAATTAAATCTGACTAGAACATGATTAAAACTTATATTAAAATTCTAAAATACCAAATTTTAAAAACTAAACATATACAATAAAACGTTAAAATAATAAACAAATTTAAATACAATTAATTAAAATTTAAAAGTAAAAATTTCAATACAAAACTCGGTAAAAATGTACACCCTAAAATCTTATACTTTACAATAGATATGTTAAACTTTGATACAATAAGGTACGTACATAAAGATCCAGCCTACTCTAAGCAATTTTAAAATATTTAGGTAACTGTTAACCAACTCTGAATGCAGCTGTAACTCATCGTAAGTTAAAACAACACGCTATGCTGTAAATAATTGTAATTTCATAATAAGCGTGCCGTTGATAATAAAGCGCTTTGTAGATTGCACAATAGTAATCTGATTACGCCAACACAATGAGCATCAAAGTTCCGTTGTAGGGAGTCGGTTATCAGTATTATCTAGTGACATAACGAGAAGTACGCATATCGTCCACACGCCACGCGCCGCTGTGTCCTCGGATAAACGTTTCCTACTAGCAATATCTACAGCAAATCGTTAAATGTTTAAATAAATATATTGCAAAAATATTTTACTATTCTCGTTTTTATGGTTTATTTAAATAACCTTGTATGTTTAGAATGACGATTATTTGTGTAACAGTTGAGATACTCGAAGACATTCCAATTTAGCCAGCTACGTATCATTAGCTGCCAGATCTTTGCTTTGCTTATAATTTTATGTTACATATTCAATCTTTTCAATACAGATTTATTAACAATACTAGCTTTCGTCCGCGACTCCGCCCTCGTGTTAAAAAAGTAAGTAAGCAAAGTAGCCTATGTGTTCTTCCAGACTATGCTCTGCGTCTTTGCCAAATTTTATCGAAATCCATTCAGACGTTTAGGCGGCAAACTCCAACAAACATCCATCTATACTTTCGCATTTAAAACACTAGTCTGATTCAATTCGAATTCAGACGATATCGTAATTTGACTGAACTCCCTTGTCAGCAAATCTCCGTTGAATTTAAAAACTTTTTCCAAAGTTGTAAAAATTCTCCGAATAATTTACTAATAGAAGATTCAACCTTAATAAATATATCTGTAACCTTAACATTTGACTCGCCAGTTCCGTTTCAAACGGACAATGAATACAATGAAAGAGGCGAATAAATCATCGTATCGCCATTTGTTTAATCATATCATGTAAGATGTATAATTTATGGCTATTAAAGAAACATTTTATTGATACACATAGGTCAGAGGTTTCAAAATGGAAGCGACGTTTGCATTTTTATTTTCGTTATCGCGGAATAAATTTTTGGTGCTCTTTAGAATCTGTAGATTTTAAAAAATCACTGTTTGAGGTTATAAAACAACCCTAGACTTTCTATCATACTGCTGGTTCTTCCACACTTAAAATGTATTTCTTTATAAAATTGAGATTATTTGGAAGATACTAAAAAAACTTAAGTATTGTATTTACTACAGTTTTTGTTTACCCGATAATTGTATTAAAGAGCGTTTTCGTTTCGTCGCCAATTTGAAGGTGAAGAATGCGATTTAGGGAGATAAAAACAAGAATGCGAGACTATTGTCTGGCGAAGCCCAGAATAGGC